GCGGCCAGTGCCTGAAGGACCCCTGCTCTGGCGGGGACGAGAACTGCCTGGACACCAGCTGCTGCAGCTCGGCGCGCGGTGGCATGGGCAAGACGTGCTTCAGGAAGGACAAGTACTACGGCAAGTGCATGGAGCTGTGCGAGAAGGCCGACGACACCGAGGGCTGGGACTGCGAGGCCCTCGGCAACCGCACCCGGTTCGAGAGCGGCTGCGCCTTCATCGGGCACAGCTGCGCCGACACCGGCCTCTGCTGCTCTCCCGGGTCCGCGTGCGTCGTGAAGGACGAGCATTTCACGGGTTGCATCCAGACCCAGATCATCTCGACCTGGAGCGCGCAGTCGGTGCCGATCCCGAGCGACTGGGAGGGCACGACCATCGGAGGCAGCCGAGACGAGTACCAGATGCAGGCCGCGGGCGAGGGCGAAGACAAGGCCGACGCGACCTTGTTCTGCTTCATGGCCTACCTGCCGGACTCGGGGGAGGTGCCCTTGAGGGATGTCGCGAAGGAGCTCGGGGCGAGCATCTACGGCTGTGACGGCTACGCGGAGTTCGAATCTTGGGGATCGGGAAAGAAGGTGTGGGACACAGGCGATGGTGGCGCATCGATCACGAACACAGATGTATTCCTCAACGTCTGGCAGCAGGTGCAGCAGCACGGGGGCTACATGAAGGCGGATTGGACAGTCAAGGTTGACCCCGATGCCGTGATGGTGGCTGACCGACTGAAGAGCCACATCTACGGCTTGAACGCGAAGAAGGACGTGCCCATCTACTTGAAAAACAACAACATGGACCCGGGCCTCGGGAACAACGGATTCCTCGGCGCCATCGAGGTTTTCTCAAAGAGGGCCCTGCAGATCTATTTTGACAATTGGGAAGGGTGCAAGGAGGCCTACGGCCTCGACAGCGGAGAGGACGGCTTCATGAAGGGCTGCATGGACGCACTGGGCGTGGGCTTCATGACAGACGGCGACATGTTCGATCCCGACTTCTCCCCGGGTGCCTGTGCCCACGCGGAACGTGCGGCGTTCCATCCGCTGAAGGAGGCTCGCTTACACGTGAGAGTGACCCTTCGCCGGAGTGTCCTTTGGTGCGCGCTCACCGGGGCCCCCCGATCGCTCAGCGCGATGCGATAGTGGCTGCCTGCGCGCTTGGATTTGGCCGCCCTGCGCCCCGTCAATCCGCGCACGAAAGGCCACTCTGAGCGACACAAAAAAGTGGGGTCGTCTGCGCCGACATTGGCGCGTAAGCTGCCCGCGTGAGGTCGCGCGTAAGCGGCGTTAGGCCGCTACGCCATCTCCCGTAAGACCCGCTTTTTTGATCTCGCGAGGAGGAGGAGGAGGAGGAGGAGGAGGAGGAGGAGGAGGAGCAGGAGGAGGGGGAAGAAGATGAGGAGGAGGAGGAAGAAGAGGAGGAGGAGGAGGAGGAGGAGGATGGGGGGGATGAGGAGGAAGAGGGAGGGGAGGAGGATGATCAGCCTGGGGTCACTCCCGCGTGCAGCCGAGAGGCGTCGCAGTGGCGGTGCTGCTGGGACATCATCCAGGGCAAGACGCGGGACGTGAAGTACGGCAAGTGCGACATGGGGCCCGACGGCCGCAGCCCCCCGGAGCCGGAGTACGGGGGCACGGCGCGGTGAGCTCCTGCGCGGCGCTCGTCCGGGCCTCCTGTCGAGCAGTTGCGAGGCGTCTCGGCTTGCCCATAGGCCCACAGGAGCATGTTCTGAGAACCTCTTCTGGTATGCACTCGGTTCGTAGAGCACGTATGGCTCATGCTTGTTTGGTTTGGGCACGTCTGGCTTGCGTCCTGAGAACATAGAACACTGTCAGGGTTCTAACAACATGTCGTCGAAGGCTTGTAGGAATGCCGGGACGGTCGGTCACTGCTAAATCTTGGGTGGGGTCGGAGCGGATGGGGTGGGAGGATCGCGCCGCATCGCCGATGCATCGGGGAGGCGATTCGATGTGCAGCCTTTCTTTCCTCACGCTGGCGTCGCCGGTGCGGCGCCGGCGTCGCCGGTGCACCGTCGATGCATCGGCGATGCATCGGCGATGTGAAGCGATGCTCCGACCCTGGCTGCTCGGAACCCATGTGGGAGGCCTTCTCAGCTTGGACCCCGAGGTTTTCCTGCGGCCGAGAATACATCGCTCGAGGAAGAGGAAGCAACGTGAGCGTACTCCAGATTTCGTAATAAAGGGCGGGGGGTCTCATTTCGAGGGGGGTCTCTTCCAGGCTATCTTGGAGGGCCTGGGGGGTCTGGGGACAATGTTTTGGAGGGTTCCCCCACGGGGGAGGTCTGAAATGGCTTGTCTTGGAGGGCCCAGACCCCCTCCCTTCTATTACGAAATCTGCAGTAATTGTTCGAGGGCGTGCGCGGCTCTTTTGGGTCTGCGCTGGGGCCCCCCCTGACGGCGCCTCTGGCGCCGCCCCACGGCGCGCGCTCGCGCGCCAGGAGGGGGGGGCCGCCGGCGCCGATCGGGGAGCTCCGCGCGAGTCATGGGGCAACAAGAGGGTACGGATGCCGCTGCAGCCGGGCCGAGGCATGAGATCGGGGTTGGTTCGGGGAAGGTACCCCAATGTGTTCCGTACAGTCGGGGCCCTGGAAAAGGAACCTTTTTCGTTGGAGAGAGGCTCGGCGTTCCTTGATTGTTCTGCAGTTTGCCTTCAGTGTTCCTGAAGTTTTCCATGGGAAATCGAAGTTCAACGTATGGGAGAAAGGGGCCCCGTTCCTTATTTAGGGTTCCTTAGGTCAACGCCCTGACTGTATGCTGTTGGACGTTCTCGTGCACCATGGGAAAGGGTACCCTCCGATGTTCTGTGCGTGTTTTGGCAGGCTGAGGGCCTCGTGTGCTTGAGTGATGTGCTTCTGGCTTAGGTCCGACTGTACCGATGCCGCTATCACCAGCCTCGAAACTATCCCTATCCCTAAGATTGACACGCCAAAAGGCGATGACAATCTTAGGGATGCGCCCTCAAAACCTAAGGGAATCCCTGAGATTGGCATCGCGATGAGGCGATGCCAATCTTAGGGATAGGGGTATGTTCCAGGCTGGTAACGCTACTCCCTGTATCTCTGCACGGATGAATGCCGGCCAGGATTTCGCGGCGGATTGCCGGCCGTGGTGACCGAGGGAAGGGCAGCGGCATCGGCACGTCTCAGTTCCTGCTCTGGGGCCTTCGGGAGTTGATCGGCGGCGAGCGAGGGGGGGAAGTGAGAAAGAGAAGACCTTCTCAGCAGGCGGCGGGACTTCTCGGAAGCCTTCGGGCCTTCTGAGAAGTGCTTGGTGCCGTCAGGGAAGGCACAGAACACTTCTCAGCAGGCCGGGGGCCTGTCGAGCCTTCTGAGAAGGCCCGTCACTTCTCACGTTCGGGGAAACGTAAAACTCGAGTAAGCCAGAGTTCGGGTGTGCCGACGTTTTTTGACGAGCGCGTCGTGGATTTTGGCGGTCCAGTTTTCGTGGGACGCTTGCAGCAGGAGTTCGTGTCAGGTCTCAGACTGGGCCTCGCCATTTTCATGAGGCCCCCATCAGGCCAGCCCGAGGTCCCCGTACCCGAGTCTTACGTCTCCCCGACGCTCTTCCCCCAGGAGGGAAAAAAACACAGACACAATTAATCGGCGACTCCCAAGAAAATATGGGAAAAGATGGGAATTGGGCGGGAAGACAAAAACTTAGAAAATATGGGAAACTATGGGGAATCAGTTTATTTGTGTGTATTTATTTGTGTGTCCTGGGGCCCCTTGATTCCCCCCTCTCTCGCCGCCAAGCGGGCGTCCGAGTCGTTCCTTCGTCTTCCTCCGGTCCGTGCCCGCCCGGCGAGCGGGCGCGGCACGGCGCCGCCCTCCCCCCCCCCCCCCCCGGGGAGGCCGCTTGCCCGCGCGGCGCGCGCGCCTGCGCGGCGCGGAGACCCCGCGCCCGGTTTCGAGTCCGAAGTTCGGGTGTTGCTAGAGGTGCCCCTGGCCCAAGGTGAACCCAGGATTTTCAAGGAGGCCACTACGGCCACCAGAGCACCCCTCACGAGGTCCAGAGGGCTCCAGGAGATCCAAAATTGAGCGAAAAGCTGGGGGCACCTTGAGCCAGGGGCACCTTTAGCAATCCCCGAGAAGTGGTGGCGGGGCGGCTTTGGGAGGAGGCCGCCAGCGTTAAGTTGGGCGTGTCCCCCTACAGGAGGATTTTCGACGAAAAATGAAACATACCCGCCAAAATAGTCAAACAATTATCCAAAAATAGTCGGGGGACTATGTTTTAGCATTTTTTCTATTTTTGTGCATTTTGGATGTATGTTTTAAATCTTCGCCCAAAATCCTCCTGTAGGGGGACGCGCCCGCCTTAACGCCAGCGTGGTCTTGCGGTCCCAGGCCCCCTCGCTTGGTGGAAAACGTCGCGACGGTAGGTCGCGCGCTGTGTTCGGCCTCTGGGGGCCCTTGCCGGGCCCTGGGACCGTCAAAAAGCGACTCGGGATGAAAAACCGGTCCTGGGGGGAAAGGGTGCAGATCTTTGGGTGTCGACGTTTTGAAACAATCACGACGTCGGGGGTCTGGAATCGGACCGAGGTAAAAGATTGAGGTCGGTTCGGGGAGGGTGCCCCAGTGTTCTTCGTGTGTGTGTGTGTGTGTGTGTGTGTGTGTGTGTGTGCGTGATTGTGTGTGTGTGAGTGTGTGTGTGTGTGGTGGATGTTGTTGTGAATCTTGGGGGAAGGTGCCCTCGAGTGAGCTTCTGGTCTGGGACGTTTCGGCCGGCGGGAGGTCTCATGTTTTCGAGGGATGTTTTTCATTCTGGCCAGGAAAGCACACAAAGGTAAACTTGTGGCATCAGAAAGACGCCTTCGCCCTGTCCCTCCCTGCTTCGTTCCGCCTGCCCTCGGCGCGGCCATCTGACTCCGCCCGCCCGTGCAGTGGGGCTTCGTCCACGCTCCACGGGGTGGACGCCAGACGACCCGCGGCCGACGATCGCACGGCCCCCCGCTCGTTCTCCCAGGGCGCCGCCCCCGCCCAGGCCCAGCCAGGAATCGCCCTGGGGACCTTCGGGGCAGGGGCCCGGGAAAGTTTACATGGCCAGAACGCACGGGGCCCAGAGTTTACATGGCCATGCCCAAAAAGGCTCACGGGGCCTGATGAGGCAGCGGGAAAAGTTTGCATGACCCTCGCCCAGTAAAAGTTTGCAGGGCCCAGAAATTGAATCATCCTTTGCCCGACCCCGAACCCCGCCCGAGCGAACACACAGACGATGCACCCCGTGGAGACGTCGGGCGAGGCGTCACTGAACCAGGCGATGGTCTTCGGATCAAGCAATCTGGGGATGGGGCCGACCGAGGGCTCACTGAGAAAGTTTAAATTCAAAAGTTTTGCGTGTGATTTGCTCGCCGAAGGGACCCTCCAGGCGGCGGCGCGGGACACTCGAGGGCGCCCTCTGGGGCACCTCCTTGCACACCCGCCGGGACACCTCGGGGACACTCTGCAGGACGCCTCCAGGACACTGCCAGGAGACCGGGGCACTCTCCAGGCCCCCGTGCGCTGTGGAAAACACACGGCGGGAGGTTTTGTCACTGCTTTCGGCCTCCAGGTGCCCTCGCCGGGCCTCGGGACCGTCCAACAAGTACTCAGAGATCAGGAGGAAAACAAACACACAGACACATTTAATCGTCGGTCCCCCAGAAAATATGGGAAAATATGGGAAGTGGGCGGGAAGACAGAAACCCAGAAAATATGGGAAAATATTGGGAATATTTTTATTTGTGTGTATTTATTTGTGTGTCCTGGGGCCCCTTTCATAGTCAGGATGAGAAACCGGTCCCTGAGAAGGGGTCCGGGCCTCTGAGGGTCGACTTTGTGAAGAAAGCACGACGTCGAAGGTCTGGATCAACGGGGGGGGCCTCATGGCCGGACGGACGGTCGGAATTCGGAATAGTGCACTGCGAGCACACACCAGCAGGTATGATGATCATTTCGGGGGCGAAGAACGGTATAAGATGATTGCTCCGCCGTCGGGGACGCCAGAGCACTTTGCCTCGTGACCCAAAAAGGCGTCCAGCTGAAAGGGGGTGGTGCAATAGATTTGTGGCATCTGTATTGCAAACGTATTGCGCCAGAGAATTGGATTGCATTGTGTTGCAACGAGTGTATTGCACGCGAAAGTCCAGCAATACATTTGCGCCCCGGAAAGTATTGCACACTCCGAATTTATTGCGACCCCACAAATCTGCTGCACCAAATCAATTGCACCAGCCCCTTTTCGCTGGACCCCCTTGTGGGTAAACCAGAGCTTCATGTTACACCGTTCTTCGCCCGCTGAATCATGTGATTTTGGATTCCCAGGTCCCGATACACACTGGGCGCCTTTCAATGTCAGGAGTCGAGCGGATTTCCCCGTCTGCGTCCTTTGCATGGGGCGGGCAAGATCCCAATCTACGGTCAACATTGTCCTATTTCATGTCTCTACCCGCTTCTTCCAAATGATGGGCACGCATCCACAATTTTTTGTTAGCTGCTCTGGTATGTCTATGCTGTCTCACACTGGCCGAGCACCCTGGCCAGTCGGCAGCGCGGGCCTCTTCCGGTGCCAATGTGCGCTTCTCTAGCTTCCTCTCGAACAACGCTGAAGTCGGGCATACCCCTCCACAGGAGGAATTTCCAAGAATATTAGAACAAATAGGATGGTGCCGATGTTACGCCGTCTTGACTATGTTTGTTTATTATTTGACTTCAACTGTGTTTTCCAAGATCCGCCTGTAGGAGGACATGCCCGCCCTAACACAACGCCGTCCCGCGCCCGGCGCAGCGCTAATTCGATTCGCGGATGCAACCTTCGGGGGCGACCAACGAGGGGGTCGAGGACATAGGCGTCAAGCAGTTGCGAAGCGTCCCAGCTCGCCTATAGGCCCACCAAGGAATGTTCTAAGTCAGAAGATGGCACGTATACATTACCAGTGGCGGGCTGCTTCTCAATTCGAAGACTTTTTGAGGGTCGGGGACGACGTCGGGGTGGTGTAGTGTATACTTGTTTCCCCGTTCCCCCCCGGGAAACAGCGAAACATGTGTACACCAGGATCCCGTACACACCAGGATCCGCTTTCCTGTACGAGTTTCAGTGCAGGGCCGGAAAACGCTTCGGTGTATAGAGCTGGGTTCTTTCCCAAGAACTTGTTGTTGTCCGCACGAAATGTTCTGATAGCATTTCTGGCTGATGCCGTCTTGTTTGAACACCTCGGCCATCTGTGACAAGGACCGAACATTCTCTTGTTCCAAGAGCAGAATTGTGTGCCAGGCCTACGGGGGTGCCGGGACGGCCGGTCCTTGCACAGAGAGGGTGAGGCTTTCATGGCCGGTGTCGCGAGATCTCCCAGGAATGTGGCCCCCCGCTGCTGTTTCAGTTCAGGAGGGGAAAAAACACACAGACACAATAAATCGTCGATCCCCCAGAAAATATAAGAAAATATAGGCAGTGGGGGGGAAGACAGAAACCCAGAAAATATGGGAAAATCTGGGGAATCGTTTTATTTCTGTGT